TAAGTGTTTGGTGCCCAAGAGAAATCCCAGCTTGGACCATGCAGATCATCCCCAGACCCCGCATACGTACTGCGGATTTCCTCATGCCGGCTCGCGGTTTAGGCACCGGTTTGGAAGATTTCGTTTCAATCGTTTCTCCTGCTCCAGCACCCAGAGGCTTTGCTCTCTGGGCCTGGAGGGCCAGCTGGTAGGCGACCTCAAACGCCTGCCCCAACGTGAGGATGATCTCGTACGTCAGGTTCTTCAGAGAGAACACAGAAAACACAAAGCCGTTAGGTGCATATGAGCTACCTCGCCCTGCACAGAGCCCACCCGCTCAGCAGCTTGCTCTGGAGACGCAGACCTCGGCAGAGCCCATCACCTCTCCGTTAGCAGGTCGCATCCTGCCGTATCCTTGGCAAAGCCACTGAGCTCCTGCCCCGCAGGAGAGCCGGCATCGAGCTGCCTCCACGCTCACACAGCCCCGGCCAGCAGGACCACCTACAAGCCTGCTACAGCCCCGCAAGCATCGCAGTTTAGCAGCGTTTTGCATTGTAAAGAGAAAAAGCCAAAACATCTTGTACAGCTGATTCCGCCTAAGAATAAAAGCGCGTTATGCTTCCACTCTTTTAGTGAATTAAAAGGCTGTTAAATCAGCCTATTACACTCAACATAATTGACAGCATGTTAGGGTTTTGTTCATGGCATATTCCCCAGGAGGGAAAAACTCCTGCCCTGCATCATTCAGCACTGGAGACTGTAGTAATGAAGCCAGACAAATATTCTCTTTGTCGACAGAGCTCCAAAATAAAGGCATTTTGAGCCAGGACTACCAGCATTTTAGGGTAGAAATAGGTAAAAGAGCCCTAGAACGGACCAGATCCTGGTCTATGACTCGCCAATAAAGCTCAGTGATGAAACAAGTGGACTGGAAAGGACTGCAGCGCACTAGGAGACGAGATGCGATAACCCACTCACCACATCCACGGTGCTGAAGACGTGGCAGTAGTGGTGGCTGGTCTGCAGGTCCTTGGTGATGTAGGCGAACGTGCAGAGATCCTCAGGGTCCTGAGCAGCACAGGAGATGTTCCGGATCTCATGCTCAGCAATGACATTCTGCCGGGGTCAACCACAAGCACCCGTCACCCTTTTGGGGATGGCAAATACACCCGGCAAATGGTGGTAGTGGCAAGGGTGTGCTGGGGGCAGGGAGCAAAACAGGTACTGGCAGGGAGGGGGAGTCTCCCAGTCAGACCAGTCCCAGCTCCCTCCCATGGTAGGAATCAATGGCAACACGGTCCACAAGCAGCCAGTCTGCCAAGTCTTTGGCATTCTGGTAACCACCAGCACCTTGGTGCTCTCCCATAGCCCGAGCAGCTCCTCAGGACCAGCCGTGGCTTCTGCTTAATGTGACCTGCAGCCCCGCAGGGAGATGGGCCTGCCGGTCTTGTCCCTCCAGACACCGACTTCGAGGCCTCTGAAGCTCACCTTGTTAGAGGCATCGATGAACTTCACCCCTTTGTATGTGATGGACAGTATTATGGTTGGGATCTTCTTCATATGCTCTGTGGATTTCTTCAGAAACAAGAACATTGAAGTGACCAGTTGTGAATAAATGCTCCCTTCTTCACCACCGCCCCAGCCCACCCCACCCCAAACAACCCCTGGCCACTGCCCCACAAAGGCAGGCTTTGGGGGTCTTGGACCAGGAGGAGGAAAGCCTGTTTCTGATGAAAGTAGAGGGGAAGGGATGGGGACCTGAAGTGAATCCAGCACCCCTTTCCCCCGTGAAAATACCCATTCTCCCACTGCAAAGACCTTCCCACTATGTGGAAAAGCGCTGGGGAAGGGCAGTTCACCAGCGACAGCGGCACAGCCTGTTAGGGGATCTGGGCCACTGCTCTGCACGCGGGCAGCCCGCAGGGTTTGGGGAACCAAACTTCACTGCGATCCCCCCATTCCCCTCTCCGCATCACCCACCACAGGCTGTGAGGGAACCCCCACGGCCTCCGTACCCTCATCTTGGCACAGGCGTCCTGCGTAGACTCTGTCCCTCGGAGGTCTTTGATCAACATGGAGCCCAGGTACTGTTTGGAAGAGGAGGAGACGTTAAAGGCTTCAGGCAGGAAACTCTGCCAAACCCAAGGCAATGCCACGGCCCCACGAGTGGCCAGCAGCCGTGGCTGGAGAGGGCACGGGGGACCCAGGGAGGGGGAGGAAGGGGGGCAATGC